TGTTGTCGTTCAAACAGATCTCAAGAAAAAGTGCTGAAAGCGGATCGACCGGCAGTTTTTATTGCATCTTCCGTTGTGCGGTGTCGAGTAGGTTTTCAGCATTTGAGTTACATCCAATTATTTTCATGGAATAAAGAAATGTGACGTCAGTGCTTTTGGGACATCGATTGTTGCATGTCATCACGTGTTTCCTGAATGCAGCATGAAAACATTTCATCGGTCTTCATATCAGTTTTTACTCCGTTTTGTTGGTAAATGCTGTTGCTGTGATTCTGTTCTGCTGTCCTCACATCTGCATTTGCTTGAGTCTTTTTTTTAAACAGGATTTTACTGACACTGTGAGACATGTTGACATTTTTAGTCTGTTTATTTGATCGTTAGACAGGTACCCGCACCGCAACTTTCCCCCCTTTCATTTGTCATTTACCCTCATCTTTTGGTATCGTCATAAATAACCTGTTTCCCACAAACCAGTTAGTAACAGATGTTGTCTGCATTGTTTTTGTCGTCTCTACAAAGTATTTGCCGGGTAAGTGTCGAGTGGAGAAAACTTTTGTCAAAATGTCGTCAAGTCTGAGCTGAAGGATCTAACTTTATCAAGACGAAAGACGCACAAAGTAAATGTTCTTTGACAAACAGATACGTCTCTGAATCCTGTAGGGCTGCACAATTAATATAATATTACTACAATAACACTGTTGTCTGTGATATTCATGTTTACAGTGTGCGCTATGCTCATAATAACCTCGAAAGTGTCGATAAAATCACTTGCTGACATTGGAAAACCTTATTACATCCTTTTCAAGTGACACAGAGTCTGTTGACATTTTTACGCTTATTTCACTCTTTTTAAAGTAAATCTTGGTCTCACGTCTGTTCTCTGTGCGCAGTTAACTAGCTAGAGCGCGTTAGCCTGCATGTTAGGGGCTTAAGGATCATCAGTTACTTGTAGCAGCCGGGTTAGATCCTCTTATTTCACTCTTTTTAAAGTAATTCTTGGTCACACGCTTGTCTGAGCTGCAGTAACTGAGCGGAGACAAGAGGCTTCTCTGTGCACAGTCGACGAGCTAGCGAGCGTTCGCCTGCATGTGAGGGGTTTAAGGTGCATCGGTGAATTGTAGCATCCTGTTTTAGGTCAAATCATTTGGTTTCAGGTAAATTTGACAGTTGGACCTCTTGGTGCAATATTCTCACAGTAATTCTTGGTCACACGCTTGTCTGAGCTTCAGCAACTGAGCGGAGACTACAGGCTTCTCTGTGCACAGCTAACTAGCTAGCGTGTATTAGCCTGAATGTGAGACGTTTAAGTAACATTAATGTATTTCAGTGTTTATAGATAAGCAGATTTTTAACCTGTGAGGCATTTTGGGTACCGTTTAATTTATATTTTGTATCTAGAAGATGCTCTGAATGCAGGTGCAGATTTAAGTCCTTTTTTTTTTTTAAATGCATATCTGTATATTAACTGGAATGTAGCACAGCATAGAAGTGTAACCAGTGCTCTGTTTATTTAAATAAACCAAGAAATAATCTATCAAATTTATCATATCCTGTCATTTTGGCCACAGTCGACTAGCAAGCGTGTATTAGCCTGAAAGTGAGGCGTTTATGAACATTAGTAAATTCCAGTGCTTATTATTAAGCAGATTTTTTTTAGCTTGTGAGGCATTTTGGGTACAGTTTAATTCGTATTTTGCCTCTAGAAGATGCTCTGAATTCAAGTGAAGATTGTTTTAAGCTACGAGACTAAACTACGAGAATAACCGTGACCTGGATGACTAAGAATCTTCACAGACAGATTGTTTCAAGCCTTTTTCTGATGCAGATTTGTATATTAGCAGGAATGTAGCAAATAGAAACCAATAAACAATAATCACAATAATCTTATCCTATCATTTTGGCCACAGTCGTGCAGCTGTGCAGTCTTGCTTTTCAGGACTTCCTTTCATTGCATGTGTGCGTTTGTGTGCACAGGAGGGACGTCTCGAGCCAGCGGCATGTTGCTCCATTACAAACCAATGGGCTCCCAGGACGCCCAGCAGCTTCGCATGGAGGCGGCAGACGACAAGAAGGTGGCTTCATTATGGCTGGCTGCAATGCACAAGGTACAACAAACACAACACCGCAACGTAGCGCCGTCGCCGCACTGAAGGAGGTTTAGTGTTGTGGCATGAACACACACGACACCAAAAAACTCATCCAACATGAACTTCTTGTGTTGAGTTGGCAGAAAAAAAGAGCTTTGTCTTCTGTCCCAGGCTTGATAAATACAATTAGCTGCACAAAAAGTGCTTCTCACAGCTTCACTCTCTTGTTTTATTTCCTTTATTTGTTAAAACAAAGGATAGATCAGACTGAGGAAGGATAACATGGTGGCCTGTCCTGTGGCGCCCTCGTCAGGCCACAGCCTATATTTCATCTTCATAATCTTCACTTGTAGTAAGAAACCAAAGTTTTTGTGGCATTTTATTCTACTTTTAACGTTTGCTTTCCATCCAGAGGTTTTGTTCTCTGCTTCTCACGGTAGCAGACATGCTGTGCAATTTGTAAACGTTTACTTTGCTCTACTTGTAGATTGTTTGTTCAGCAGGGACAGGGCACAATGCAGGTGTTTTATATGTTGACTGATTCCAATGTAACCTTTATTTAACCTGTTAAATGCTCATTGAGATTAAGAGTGTTTATTCACAAAAGCGTCCCGGTTGAGACGAGCAGCAGCACAAATTCACAGGCGACACGCATAAAACAATTTAAACTAGAGAGCCCTCAGTGGAGGGACATCGTCGCCCAGTGTATGCATGACCTTGACCTTTGTCTCAGGGGCACATGTTACATCACCAGTTTAATGTCTTCCTAAGTTCGTATCTGAAACGAATGTCTTTGTGTGCATTTTCAGTCAGACAGAGCTGTTGTTGGGACCTCTGTAGCAGTCACCAATGCATGCATTGACCCCAAAATCCAATCACTCTGAGAAGAGACCATACCGAGGTCATGTATGAAGTTTCAGGTTCGAACTCCTCTCCTGTAGTGCGCTAGACTGTTAACAGGCAAAAAAAACCACACACAGGCACGATTACTCTATCACCATGGGCAACTATAATAAGGTCTACATCCAGATTCAGCACGACAGAATCGTTTTTATTCACTGTGGGTTCATTTTTCACCACAATATAAAGTCCTGCAGCTCTGTGGAAACAGAACAACCACGACTAGAAGGAGAGAGTATGTCTTCTGTGTAGGATGACACAGTTAGAATTCCATAAATCATAAAAAAAAGGAAAATGAAAGTTGAATTTCTTTGATTATTTATTATTCAAAAACAAAAAAAAAGGGACTCAAGCATGGTTCCAAATGTCCACAGTTGGCACTGATGGTGGAGACAGAACACACTGCGGCTATGTTACATTTTTAATTTATTTCCAAGCTGGTATCCTTTCTGCATACATACATAAACACCTTACGCCATTTATCATAGAAGGAAAGAAACAGTAAAAACACAAAGAATCGTTGGATTGTCCGATTCTACACGATTCATTTTACATTTTTCCAAAAACAGATAATAACCAGATTCTGTGAACAACCAAAACAAAATCGACAGTCAAGTGATAAAAGCTCTGAGACTTTTTATTTGGCGGCGGAACTGCAGGCAGTTTACGCAGAGCGGAGCGGAGACGAGTCTGGAAACAAATAAAAAAATGTGAGGAGTAAAATAGCTGGAGGATGTAGAGCTTCTGTGTGTTTACAGTGTTGACTACATCCGCATTCAGCTGGAAAAGTGTCGTCTTTACAATGTTTGTAAAAGACGGAATCAAAAACAGTGAGCGTTTGGGGATTATGATTTATGGCACTTTAACTGTATGATGCTGCACGACGAGTTCTCTCTCCTTCTTCATGGTTGTTCTGTTTCCATAGAGGTGCAGGACCTTACATCACAGTGAAAGATTAGTAAACAGTGAGGAAAAATTGGACTATTTAGAGGATTAAACCATAGTTCCAATTTATGTCCCCATAACCGAAATGTTTACCAAAAATATACCATTTATACCAGAGTTTTTTGTAAAAAAAAAATAAAATAAAAATAAATCAGTGAGATGCCTGAGTCAGCTGTGAGCAACAGTCAACTTTTCAGCTGAACTGCTGAACAAGCAGTGTCTTCTTCTCGCTGTATTTGTTCTGTTTCCGTAGAGCTGCAGGACTTTGTATTGCCGTGAAAAATGAGCTCACAGTGAGAATAAATGTGACAGGAACAAAAACGTCCGGAGGGTTACAAGTTTTGGTATCCTACATGCAATTTGGAAAAAATTACCAGAGCAAGAAAATAAGGGTAACTAGAAAAGCACTCGGAGAGCACAGACCTCCACCAAGCAGCTCATTTCTACCATGTTGTGATTTCCAGCAAATGTTAAAGTTCTGCATTCATTTGCTTGACAATATTAGATTCATGGAGAATCAGAACACACTTTAGCATTTGAATGAACATTAATATCATTAATAGCAAGCTGACGGACTGATGAACGGTCGTTCTGTACTCAAATATTTTGTACAGTTCCATTATTTCTGCAGTTACTTACTGGCTTTAAGCTGTTAGTTGTTAGCTAATGCTATGCTAGGTTGGCATAACTACAACCATGTTATTGCTAACATAAACAGACAGGGAGTAGCTTAAGCTAGGTTAGCACAACTTTAGCAATGCAATGTAAACGAAAAGCATGACCAACGCAACAAAGCACGCATCAGTCGTCCTGACACTTGGCAAAAAGAGTTAAAGTGAAACAGGAGACTTGCTGAGTCATTGTTAATGTCACATCAGTAGCTCCGCTCAGCCCACTCCTGTAATGCTGCCTGGCTGTAGCTTCCTCCTGTACCACTGAGAAGACAGCGGTGAGGACTGAAGGACTGAATGGAGTCAGAGCTCCATCTAGTGGCCAAATGGCGCAATGACAGCATTCTGTGACACTTAACCAGCATTTACTGTTTCATGCGAAAATAACCAGACGGTAAGCCAGAACATCACCAAAATTTAATCATCTGTTCAGTGGACCACTATCAACATTTCCTGAAAATTTCACGAAAATTCGTTCATAACTTTTCGAGTTATGTTGCTAACAAACAAGCAAACAAACAAACAGATAAATGCTGGCTAAAACATAACCTCCTTGGAGGAGGTAATAAGAATTTAGAGCAGTTGTTGTTGTTGTTATTGTTGTTGTTGTTTTTATTTTTAAATGAATCAAAACTGTCTTGTTTTGTTCCGACAGGCGGCCAAGCTGCTGTACGAAGCTCGGGACCAGTGACGAGCAGAACTGGACCTGCACGCAGCACACACCCAAGTGTTTTCAACCCAGCGGGGTTCGGCATCGTTGGGATTCTTCGTAACGCCAGTTCTGATTCTGCTTCTCCGTCTGATTCCTCATTGGTTCTTGATACCAGTTCTTATCGTGGTAATTTTTGCAAGAAATGTTTATATGACACAACACTTTATTACCTCTATAACCAGTACTTTGTACATCATGTTTACCGCCAGTACGCTGATTGTTCCTTCATTTTCTCATTTCGCAGAGAGTCCATTAATCCTCTCTGCTTCAGTGCATAAATCAGCCTTAATGTTTCTACATTAAATACATAACAGGAGAAGGAGCCGGTTGAGATTTGTCGGTGCAACGAGGCTTCGACTTTAATTCCACGGTTTTGTTTTGCGACGTGATTCTGTGACACTTTGTTTACTTTCCTACAAAGAAGTCAACGTTAGAAAATCCGCTAAATGTGACCTTATTCACAGTTAACTCACACAATAACTTTATATGCTGCTCTTAAATTTTGTTTATATTTTTCTGTCAACGAGGGTTTTATTTCCCGTCAGAAGAGACGAAACACATTCTGCATTCAGCTAAACGGAACCAAGTACCGACCCGCTCAACAGACCGTCAGACTGTCGCCAGCAGGTTGAAGGAAAAATCCACCTTAAAACCCTTTAACACAAGTAGAAAGGCAGCTATTTGTGATTTCATTTGCACTTCAGGGCTCGTGTGTGCTTCGTTTCTGGTAATCCTACAAATAAGAAGACGTCTGATGGCAGAAAATGTCCAGTGGATCCAACTGTGCAGCTCCACAGGCAAACTTTTATGAGCACGTTGAATACACGCCACAGCTCAGTGTGGTTGTTATTATTTGACAGCATAGCTTCTAAATTTCTCCTGGTGTTTTAGCACATATGTGCAGTATATAAACCTTCCATAGGAAACACTTTAATGCGGTTATAAGCAGATACAAGGGTTTTTTTTATTACTGGATTTGCTAACAGCCGTACATGGACGCTCAAATGTAAACAGAAGATGTGTTAAAATGCTGTCGTAATAATTGATGTAGTTGTTGACGAGCACTAAATCTTAATTAACACCTTCAGTTTCCTCATAGCTGCTACATTACAGTGCATTTTAAACCATTTCAGTATTGCTTGCATATATACGTACAAATATATATATATACTTCCAGTGCAGCAATTATAGATTTGGCTGCATTAAAACCCACTTCAGGTGATCTCATCAAGCTGTTTGAGACATTTTCTTCCCCTAATGATGTCTAAAGACACAATAAATGAAGGATATCATGAAAACACTGCGACAGTTTTAGCTTACAGAGAATCATCAGCTAATTCTGCAGCTTTTATTGAGCTTCAGCTCGTCGTTCGCTCGTCGTTCTCAGTCACAGCAGGCAGCAGAAAAAAGCCTGAAACCAAACACCAGAGAAACACAGTTACAAGACTAGCTGGTGAACTCATTATAGCATTTAGCTGCCAACGATACCAATATTTTATTAAGGCGGCGGTGGAGACCAAAAACCGAGTTAAAAAAGAACAACTGTTGGACCTTTTTTTTTTAGATTTAAGGCAAACTCGTTGCTTTTTTAACTGCCAGATGCGTAAACAAGCTACTATTGACTTTTGTTTTCCTAAATAATGAGAAAATACAAAATAAATGAAGTATATCATGAAAAGCCGTGACTATGGAGAAGTAAAAACATTGTGTGAAAGGTGAAAAATGAACCCACCAAAGCTCTGTCGCTATGTACAGACATCTATACGTTCACAGGTGAATTATAACAGAGCAGAGAAAAGCGCTGTTAAATGTCACCAGAAAATGTGAGGTTCTAGAGTCGATGGTTGGCAGGTTGGGTTCTGGACGGCGCTCACAGGCATTCTGGGTAACGCAGGACTCTCTAACCGAAGCAGAAGAAGCAACAGGGCGGCTCCTGAAATGCAAAGAGCATCGCAGATTTCTGTCCAGTTTACGTAGAAGTGACGTTGAGCGGTGGATTTTTCCGTCACCGGAGCAGCTGTGAAAGTTCTGTTTAAACTCTGTCATAGATTCACATCTTCAGGCCTGTGCGTCTGAGGAAACGTCCGACTATTCACTGATTCTAGTGAAGCATAAACGCGTCATTAAAATGCTTTAAATGTAGTTTCACGTATTGAAGTTTTGTACGAGCTATTTTGTTAAATATTCCTACTTTAACACGAGCCGTGTACGTACTTACATAATTTTTAAAGCTGAAGTATGACTATAGTTTTTGTAATACTTGTATACACTCAATCCTTCTGCGCTCACTCGAAGGCCTATACAGTTTTTTATTTAGCTCTTTTCGTTGATGTTGTCGTGAAGAGCCACAAACAGGAAGTGGAACCACCGGCGCCCATTTGCGGTCAGTTGCTAGTTGTGCTTCCGAGGACCTATTGAAATGCTGAAAGCGTTGAGCGCAGGAGAAAACGTCATCTCTGTAATCTGCTTCACAGCCAAATGGACCGCCATCGTTGGCCTCAGTTTGCTCTTCTTGTGTACAGAAATACCAGCGTTATTTAAAATTCTGATTAAAATTAGACTTTTAGCAATTCAAACCTTTTTTTTTTTTTTTTTTTGACGTCGCAGCAACAGATTTTCAGCGTTTTGGTTTTCTGTAGTCAGAGTACAGTATGCACAACTTTCCTCGATTTAAACACCTCAAACGTTCCTTTAAAAGGGAATGAAAACAGGCTAAAGAGAAGCAGCACAAAGATGAAAAACACAGACACTAGCCATGTTTCTGTCATGGATTTTTGTGTGTATTGTATCGCATTAGAAAAGGTTTGAGAATAACGAACCAATTTTCGCACTCGCTTGAGGCGGTTTTTAAATTCTCCTACAGAGTTGATGATTCTGTTATCAGTGACAGATGATCCGTTAGCTCTACACCATCAATAAAGTGGCTTCTTTATTTTACTACTATAACTTTTTTACTAATTTTACTAATTGGTGAGTTTCAAGTCTTATGTGGATATGTCCAATTTAAAACTAAACAAAACCATAAAATAATGATTTCTGCTGCAACAAAATGAATTGTCTCTGAGGCCTCGTCCACACGTAGCAGGGTGTCTCACCAACCAAGATGTGTTTCTACGATGTGGCCTGTCATCCACACGAAAGCGCAGATTTACGGTATTAAAAACGATTCTTTTAAAAACCTCCGACCAAAGTGAAGATTTGCGAATCTTCCGTTTATGCGTCTGCATGTGGATGTCAGTAACCGGGTTTTAGGTTTCACTGCCTGCGACAAAATATGTTCTTTACATGCCATATGCAACTTGTGTTTACATTTGGAAGCAGCGTGGACGTCCTCAGAACTGTGTTGGTGTTGTCTCTGGTCCAGGCCCAGATACTGCTCCTCCACGTACAAGAAGACAGGCGAAGGACGCCGTTAAGGACGGTTATTTTACGACGTCGAGAGACAGAAGCTTACTCTGATTGGATAGGATTTGGGGAACTACTGCCACCTTCAGGTTTGGCAGCTTATGAATGTGCTTAGCGACGCACTTGTGCGTTTAGGTGTGGATGAATTTCTTTTCTAAAAACAAGGTGGTGTGTAGGGGGGAGCATATTTGGTTTTATAAAAACCCTGCTACGTGTGGGCAAGGCCTTAAAGTCGCAAAGAAACTGACATTTTTATACTCGCTTCGAACGACACAAATCCAAACAGAGCAGGGAAATGTACCATCAGCCAACTGGAGAAACACGAATGGCTGGTTCGGAGTTGTTTTTGAGGATTTGCTGTGTTTGTATTTTTTACAAACAAGGTACACAAGAGGAACAAACTGGAGGAAAATGCGACTGATTGGACCTTTCAGATATTCCTTTTTGCTGCTTTACTGCAGAAAAAGTCCTAATTTGTCTCCGTTCAAGTCCCAACACTTGATGTTTAACTTCAGTGTACCATTCTTTAACGTGTTTGTGATCTTGGGAAAACGCACCATCTCAAGCGTTAGCGTCAGCGTTGTCAACTGAGGCTTTGTTTTTTTCCTGCGCTTTCAACTGCGCGTCATGATCTTCGGCACGACAGCAGATCACCAGTAAACTTGTGACAGCAGGTCATGTAAAAAAAAAAAGCCTGTAAGTGGATGTGCAGCTCCCATTTTTAAAAAAATCCAAATAACTTCACTCGCTCGACTTTGCGCCCGAGCGGATGTTATAAATGCACAGTAGCGCTTCAGTTGCTAACACGTCATGCTACGTCCAGCTCAGACTCCCAGTGATTTGCAGGTTTTGCAGGCATCTGTAAGTCTTCCCTTTTTCTTTCCACGCTCGGACAAAGACCTCCAGACGGTTTATATGGAGCACAGATGTTTCCCCTTCGTCCGCCACCTCACCTCCACTCTGAAGCGACATAAAGTTTATTTTTATACGCTGCTCACCTAAGAACTGAAATCACATGTTGTCATTTGGTTTGATGCTTTCAGAACAGAGACGGAGGAGAAGAAGGCGTTTTGTGTAATAATTCAGTCAAGTTCTGCCATTAAATGACGTGAGGGGCTGCACAGGTGTCAAGAATGAGAAGAACAGTTGAACTAGAGCAAGATGTAGCACAAAAAAAACCCCCAAAACATTAGTGTAGTTTTTAATTCGGGTGTTTTTTTTATTTTTTTATTTTCAAATCCCAGACTACGCATCAAGATGGCACTTTTCATGTCGACTTCATTTTAACAAATAGATCAAATTGAACCCCCTACATTCAGAGACTATTTGATCTACTTGTGCAATATTACACATTCTAAATCAACGACATGATGAGAAATTGCAATGAACAATTCAGACTGTTATCTTTAATAGTTCCTGAGATGTTGCTGGTCAAACAGCCTCAAATTTTAATTTCTGAAGAAAAAAAAAAGCTGCTGAAAGGCTTTTTTTAAAAATTATTTTTCTTGGACAGTATTTGGCATGCCAATCTAAAAATTCACAAATGTCTCTATAAATACACAGTTGTAAAAATGGAATGACCCCGCTGTTTAACGAAGTCATGTTTTACATGAACAGGCCTCAGTCTGCAAGTCGAGCTCATCCGTGTTCATTTTGTGTTTTTTCACCACATTAAGACACAAAAACAATAATTGCTCATCAAAAACACAAACTGTGACTGACTGTGCAGCCCCTTCCTTTAAGTTTTTATTGTAAGTTTGCACTACGTGTAATGTCACCAAGTCGTCACTCAGCCAGTGTTTGTTCCTGCACTTTATATTCACCCCCATTCTTGTTTCCACTGCTTCGTTTGTTTTGCTGAAAATGCGACACCGCTCCCTCTGTCGGATTATTCTGTTGACAATAAAATCAAGTGTTTCTACATTTGTCATGTTTGCTTCTGATTCCTACAGAGACCAAGACCGAGAAGACATTTCTAGTGATTTTTTAAAAAATGTTTTAACTTCATTTAATTGTTTTTTTTTAACAATACATAATACAAAAAACAAACAAACAAAACACAACAACAGACAGAATGACAACAGGCTCATCACAGGAAAGTGTCCGGGATAGTCACTAAACATTATAGATTCTTCTGGTCTTTCGTGAACAGAACAGTTGTTTTACTCTGTCCACCCAAACCCTTTTACAGTAATAATTCCAAGTTTGTTATTAATCTAATCTCTTTCATCGCATCTACGCAGCACCAAGAAACACCAGGATGTTCCCAAAGAATGTGAACGTGAGCAGCAGATATATTTCCACACATTCTCCAACGCTGACAATGTTCAGGTTTATCACTTTGGGACTGTTGTAGAAGTTTGTAGGTTAGGTCTCTGAAGTCTTTGTACCAGATCTTAAGAGGGACTGTGATGCAGTTCGACCATTTATTCAAGGGCTTCTTTAAAGTGTTTTTCCCGCTTTCGAGCAGTGATCGGGGAGGTTTGCTCGTGCGGCTTATTTCCAAGTCTTTCCAGTTAGCATCATATTTAGGATCATACCAGAAAACGTACCGTCACACACCTTGACGTGCCTGTTCAGCTCTATTCATTGTTTTTACACGTGATTGTGGTGCAACCAGTATCAAGCACAACCGTCTGCTAGTAGCGAGGCAGAGAGACTCCTCGGCCGAGGAGGTGTTGTTGTTATCGGCATGATGAAGGTTAAGCTGCACTACAGTGCAGTGGTGGGCCGTGCATTTTACATCTAGGCCTTCAGTGGCGTCCTACCTGAATCAAACCACCTGTTCATTGTGACGCCACAACGATAGACACCATCAGCATTATGCAGAAAGGCAGCATAACAGGATGTTGCTTCACAGATAGGTATCATGTGTAAGAATGAATGGCATCACTAAAGCAAGAAACCCAGTTAAAACAATTCAACAAGTCTCCGTTAACTGCAGCCACAGCTGCACCATATCGAGCAGGAGGAAAGTTTGTCCTCCCTCTCACAACGTCACTTTGGAAGCCCACAGAATTAAGTTTGGGGAGTTTTAGAGCCTTGTTCCTCCACAAGTCTCTCTTCCTTCCCCATCTGCCCCCATTCAAAGACGAGTTACTACTGAGTTTTCTCAAGGACCACAAATTTACACATTTTTTCTCAAATGATTGTGTGCTCATTTTTTACTCTAGAAAATCAAAAAATACATCTCTGTAATGTTCAAGGTCTTGGCTTTCTGAAAATGTGCTCGGGTTTTCTCTCCAACACACGGTTTTGACAAAAATGGCGGTTGTTTGAGGTCTTCTCCGTCTGGATACTTCTGCTGATTTGACAGTTAAACCAAGTATCTGTTTCAGCTGTGTGCTTCGTTGTCTATCAACTTTTCTGCAAGGAAATTTTCTAGTTAGTTCAGGTCTTCCGTACAAAATTTCGGTCGGCTACTCCTCCCACAGATTTGAGATCACCCACACAAATTATACATCAAAACGTGCGGCTCGATCGGGAATAGTGTGCTTACATACATCCATCCATTATCTGTACACTGCTTAATCCTCATTAGGGTCGCGGGGGGCTGGAGCCTATCCCAGCCGACTTAGGGTGAAGGCAGGGGACACCCTGGACAGGTCGCCAGTCTATCACAGGGCCACACTTAGAGACAGACAACCAAGCACACTCAC